CAGTACCAATTACCCTGTCCGCCCACACATGCATGCTCATAATCACACACACACACACATCCTCTAATAAATTTCACCATGAAGCAAAGCAGGCATGAGGAAGATGTTAAAGGGAGATTTTTGCAACCAGGGGAAGATTAATGTAGCGCAGCAGAGAGAGGCCAGTTGTGTAACTTTGTGCCAGGACCTCCTCTGGGACTCATCAGCACCGTGAAGAGCAGAACATCCTAAACTCTCAAACTGTTGTGGTAACGGTTGATACTGAGAAAGGAAGGAGAGAGGAATGAGAATGAGCGTCCTATCCTTTAAAGTTAAATCATGACTTAATGGTGTCACGACTGTTGTGTTGGGCCCAAAAGACGGGATGCATTTCTCACTCTAAAGTTGCTATAATCAATATTTTTTACGATAAACAAATGTATTGTGTAATGGGAAACGGGTCACAAACCCACAGAGAATAATCCCCTGACTGCGGCCCACAACTTAACTGTTTTGGTTCACAATCACCAGAGGAGGCGGCTGTTTTCAGAAAGAACACCTCTAAAAACTCACTACCTGCTCAGCACCAACCAGCAGAAAGACAAAGTTACAGACTGGAGGGTGAACCTAGTGGAGCATTAAGCAGCTAAAGACCCAGATATTTCTGTCAGGAGTTGGTGGAGACCAAAACAGAGCTACCAGGACAGTGAATATTGGACTTAAATGCATCAGGTGGACTAACATGACTCCAAATGAATGCTAACGTTGCTCAGTGTCTGATCGCTATTTCGACTTAAAGGGTAATTATTATGTCAATGTGGTGTTAATGACTTGTGTCTGCTGCCCTAAAAAAACAGTTTTGCAGCATATTGCAAACATTTATGTTAAATTACTAATAAATAAATTACAACTTTCTGTATGTAAACCTTGTTTAGGGTAGAGCATTTAGGTGCAAAATCCAACCTGAGCTGACCTGAACCAGCTGAGTCCTGTTGGGTTTTGATTACGAGTATGCAGCTCTGGAATGGAGGAGGAGTGTGGGAGTCCATCCAGATCTGAGGCATGAAGTCCAGCTGTGAGCTCATTCTCCGTGTATGTAAACACTGTATATATTCCCTTACTGTGTGTATACATGCCCAGCAGCAAGCTCAGCACCAAGCCTATAGCTACATGTGTGTGCGTGTGTAGAAATATGCATGTGTGCGCGTGTGTTCATGTGTCACCGGCCAGTGATTAATGACCCTGCTTTCTTTAACTTCCTTCCTCTCCAGTCGTGTCACACACATCATCACGTGTCACCATAATGGACGCCGGCAGACGGCTGCAGCGAGCTCGTGCTCCGCCTCATGGATACAAACAGACCATAACATCCTCCACATGCAAATCCACTCAAATGTTTGCATTTAAAGCTGCTCTGGGAGGCTTTGCATGTCAGTCAAATGTGTCCTCCTCTGACCTTAAGTGGAGGTCAGCTCTACTTTAAGAAAACTTTTTTAGTTCCAATTCAAAGTTTTTAAGTTGGTATTGTTAAAGTAAGTGCTGGGTATTGTCCACACCTCAGGCGAGGGCATTTCTACACTATCATTTTAATTCAATTCAAGATTTTGGGAAATACGCCTATTGCTTTTGTAACACCGACCTACCTTGTTCCTTACAACGTTAGGCCATAAACAAACTGCACAATGGTCACATGACTTCATGTCACTTCTACAAAGCTAAAGGTGGACCATTGCTTGGCATGATGACATTTTACAGCAGGTCATAGACACAGGAATGCAGAGTGGCAGGATTGAATCTAAAGATTGTTATGTAGTCGTTTAGTAATCAAATCTTGATCTAATTTAGCCACTTGTTAGAAAACTTTTTTTAAGGCACGTAAAAGCTTCAACGTTCACGTGTGGGATATTTACCCACATATGTCGTAAAACAAAACTGTAAAACCTCTTAAGCTTATGTTAACATATATATGTAGAGAAACCAAGAATAAGGAGGAAGAACAACATGCACACATCCAATCCATCACAGAATCACAGACTTTTCCTTATACAATACGGAGCGACAAAAAAAAGAAATGCTGCAAAAATGTGAGCACTGGACTGTCTGCTGACATGCTGCAATGTGTCCTAAGTGTGTGTGTGTGTGTGTGTGTGTGTATGTGTGTGTGTGTGTGTGTGAGAGAGAGAGAGAGAGAGAGAGAGAGGGTGAATTGGAGATAAAGGAAGAAAAAGAATGAGCAGTGGAAAAAGTGTGAGAGAAGAGAAAGAAAAGGGAACAGCAGAGAGACAGAAAGCAAGCAAGTCTTGCATGTGTGTTGGTTCCCAGCCCTGTCAGGGCCCTGTCAGCCTGTGATTTATGGCACCGAGACCGGGAGCAGTCTTCGCTGCCAGCTCAGTATTGTTACAACTGACAGCTAATGAGGCCGGACGGGCTTTCAAGCACAGCACTTAACAGAGGCCTCCATCTTCACGAGTCACGAGCTCTCCTCTTTCTTTTCTCCCCTCTCTCTTTTCTCTCTCCCATTTATTTTTTTTCCTTCCAGGGTGGCAGCAGTGTGGCGAGCTACCACGAGCTTTTCTGGGGGTGCAGAGGGAAAATAAGTCAGGCCGACAGAGATATATGGGCGACACTCTGTTACTGCAGCACTTCCACTCTCTTCCTGCTCCTGCTCAGCTCACATAAATGAGGGAGTGAGGGTGAAACACACAAAGGGAGAGATCCAGTCTCTTCTCAAACCAAAATATTCCACTCTCTCTCTTCAATTACCCTGTCACGCTGTCAAAGTCCTGGAGTCACATGTCTTCTCAGTCTATCTGTGATTATGTGAGTGTGATCTCTGTGAAGGTACCTGAACTTTATAGCCTCGGCCGTGGTGTGTTTTACCTTCAACACCCCTGGCCCGGACTGCTTGGACCCCGTATAATCACTACCAGAGTCTCTGGCAGAGCTGCCCTCCCTCCCTCCCACCTCCTCCCACGGCCCCTGGTTTCTTGTCAGTCGTGATTAATGGCACTAGGGCCCTGGCGCGGCTTACGCTGCCAGTTCCAGCGATGTTCCCTTGATACTTAATGAACTCTGACAAACTTCTTTCCCTTGCTCTGTTGTTCCCTCCCACCCCGCCCCCATCTCTGTTTAAAATGCACAGCACAGAGCTGCCACTGCAGCACCTAGGGGTTAGCTCTGGTCCTTTGTAAATTTCTCAAGAGGCCAATGTCTAAAAATAAAACGCCACGGCCATTTTAATGTCACGACCCTTAGTTGTGTGTCACTTCCAGTGGCTTGTTGCTGATTGACGAGGAAATTAATTGACTTTTGGAGATGTTCAGTGATTGCCTCTTTAAGGGTAGATTCTCAAGCTATTTATATATTTTTTACAAATGTGAAACTTTTTGTTCCTTTTGCGAACAGCCAACCATATCCACTGAAAATTAATGTAATAAACATCTGCTGCGAGATATCAGCAAAAGTCTCTCTAAAATGTTAAAATCATGGCAGCCCGAGGCAGCAGGATAATGCAGCCTTTTCTACAGTTTTCTCATAGAAATGAAGCATTGCATCTCTGCTGGTCTGTGTCGCCATCTGCTGTTCACACGAGGAAAGTGCGTGTCTCATCAGTATTCAAATATTCACTGAAAGATAAGCAAAACAAGTTACTAACATGAGGGTCAAGAACATGTATAGTATTTTACAATAATACCAAAAACATACACCACTACCACAATGAAGTGAAAACTACTAAATTAAGTATTTAAAAACACACACCTGAGATCACAGTGTTTAGTGTCAGATCTTACACTTGATCAGACTTTCCTGGTAGAGCAACGGTTTGCAGGTGTTATCAATATTCACAGATAAGTGTAACCTAACAGACTATTTTGTATAATAAAGCCTGAAGTAGAAGTTGTTGATAAAAACTAATTTGATACTTTTACCAGTCCACAGCATGGACATTTTAATGCCACTATAATGGGCAGAAGACTCTGTGGTAAGTTGTTCTGATTCAAGTTCAGCAATAAAGAGTTTATAGAATTACCTCCATTACAAGGCTACTGCAGCGAAATTATAGCGATGCAAACACTATGGAGGCTCAGCAACAAGCTCCGTTTTTGTGGGTTCCAGCTCATAAACTCGAGAGGACACTTGATTGCATGCATTTATAACAAACAACAAAAAACAAACCTATTTGCAAGTGGGCTCTGAACAGCTTCAAAGAGTGTTGGGAAAAGGTAAAAACAGGAAGACATAAATGTCACATTTCAGGGTCACCATTGGGTCATGTGACTAAACCAAAGAGGGTGTCCTTTTTTATTATTATTGGGGTATTTTATGACAGAGAGATGTCAGGAAATGAAGGAGAGAGTAATGCAACTAAGAGACAGTGCCTTAATTAACCCCTTAGCCACAGGGATACAGCGAGTATCCTCAACCTTCTTTAGTATGCTGTGAAAAACAGTGCATGTTGCTTCCATTATGACAGAAAATGAATTGAAGACTTCACACTTGTAATGTAACTGCGTGCAGGGCTCCTGTTCATTTCTGGCCCTATAACCAACTGCTTAGTATATGCCCAAATATCGAATTTGGTTTGCAGTTTATTCATAACTGTACTTCGTTTCTTTAGACTTGTTTTTTTGCCGTGACTGTTGTATGAGCCTTTTCTATTTCACCCACAGCTGGCACAGTATTTACAATGAAACGGCCCCTTGTTTTGTTATGGAAGTCGAGCAGTGTATTTCTGTGTGTAGTTTACATATTTGTCCCATGTTGCTGTGAGTTTCCCCTTGTTTCCTCTGGTTTCTTCCCACACTCTCCTGTTTTGTAAGTACTGTACATAGTTTATTTAATTTCAAATAAACATTTGCCTCTGATTTATTGAAGCAGGCCAGGCAGCTGCTCAGGCCACTGTGACCAACAGGCCCAAACGTGGTCCAGCACGAGCACTGTGCAAAGGCAAAAAAGGCTGTTTGCTCAACCGACCACGAGGGGGCGCTAATGCGACAAGTTGGACAACAAACAGTCAAATTCTAAGGAAGAAGAAGAAGAAGAAGCTAGCAGGTGCCTGCTTCGTATCTGTTGCTAGTGTCCTCTCAGGATAAATTACAGGTAAGAGCGACCAAGCAACAAGAACATGTGTTAACATCTATTCAGACAAAGTCTCTGCTCTCCCCCGTCTTGTTTGGCATGTCAGTAGCATGTCAAAAGGAAGAGGACACGTGCTGATATTGTTTTGCTAACATGTAACGTTAGCAGAGGTTAAGCAATATGTGTCGCTGTCTTGTGCCTTGAGGCCAGCAGTAGGTAACGTTACGTTGTGACTGATAGTACAAGTTAAACAGGTCAGCGTTTTGAAAAGGCTCCTCTATTCGAGGAAGCGATAATATAGTAGCTTCACGTTATGCTATCACTTAACTGTAGCTCCGACACCAAATTGCAGTCAAATGTTTGGATATTTGAAGTTGACCTTCTAATAAGTCATCTATTCCTTTCATAATTTAATTACTAAACGACTGAATATCAATATTTAGATTCGCTCCTGTCATTCGGCATACGTGTGTTTCTCAAGATGTTGGTGTGTGTTTTGATGAAGTGTTTATTTTCCACTTTGAACTGCTGTAAAGCTGCAGTCGTTTCCGTGAAGAAGAGGAAGCTGCGTGCGCAACTTTATGAAAATTTAAGATTAAATTCAGACATTTTCTGTTTGGTGGATGATTTATATTCTGAGTTTGCTAGAAGAGCTCTTACAATATTTTAACCACTGTTGTAATTTAACACATTTGTGTTCACTTCCTTCCGTTCTGTCACCTTTCATACCACCTAACGTGAATCTGTTAGCGCACATTTATTGTCACAAATAAATTGCTTACAAACTCAAATTTAATTTAAATTAATTAGTTTATTCGCTTCCCTAGAAAAATTCCACCAGCTTAAAAACAAAGGGTTGCAGACCAATTTATTACAAAAAAACAATGTCAAATCAAATGTATAATTAATTGGACCTGAGGTAGAAAAGTATATTCTGAGACGAGTCCAGGGTTGAGTCAGAGGGGTCACGAGGTTGTCTTTGTGAAATCCTCCGTTAAGACAACACTCCATCCAACTCTTTCATCCTAAACCAGCTGAAATAAACGTTATCACATACCTGAATGTAGACACCGTTGGAGATGGTGCTGGCAGATTCATTTCATGTATGACAAGAGGTTAAAATGTTTTTACACTTCAGCCTCAATCCTCTTTAAGTGTGACAAGGTCACTAAGTAGCAGCTGATGCTCAGCTAAGCCTGAGCTGAGGAGAGATAACCCAGTGAGCAAGAAGCCAACGCCGCTGTGTTACTACCGTACGACACGGGCTGCTCACTGGGTGGATCGTTTAGTAGCAGTTGGAGCATTTGATTGGAATTAAAGCAGGACATCGTGTACACATCAAAACAATAAACTCTGTTCCCATGTGCTCATTTCCACAAGCTGTCTTCCTCTTCTGCCTGCCAGGATGGCACAGTGGGGTGCAGTGTTCTCGATAATTGCTGCTCTCGGAGGAGCGGCTCTCTTAGGCTCTGTGCACAAGATCGATGAGGGACACACTGGTGTTTACTACAGGTGAGTGCAGCACGCATTTTTGTTTTTTAGTTTTGTGCCTGAGAGGTTGGTGTTAAACTGCACTGTTGTAAAACGGATACTATAAAAACTATTAACAGTCACTACTATAAATACCTGGGCATTAAAAAAAATCCAGCTGTGGTTCTGTTGAAAGTTTAATACTTGCACAGGCATGCAGGACATATCTGCGTTTCACAACAAACAAGATACAATAAGCTTTTGTCTTTCTGGAGCTCTTAAAACTGATGAGTTGCGACTGAGTCTGTGGTCTCGTATGAGTCACGATGCTGTCATCCGAGAGTAAAGGTTGATTTATTTATGACGAGAAGAAATTCAGTGGTCGAATGTATCATGGAACATTTACTCAAGAATTGTACTTTTCCAAATTCATTTGTAGATCTTAAACCCTGATAAATGAGTTGCCAGAGTATGAGGACAGTGAAGGACTGTCTGTACTTGTCGTCAGCAGTAGCATAAAGAACAATGAGCGCACCTGAGTCCTAACTGTTAATTTTGACTAAACTACCACAACTGCTCCTGTTTGTCTCCTAAATCATCTTAACACACATAATCAGAATTGTTTTATTCAAATGTATAACTATCAGCTGTGTGTGTGTGTGTGTGTGTGTGTGTGTGTGTGTGTGTGTGTGTGTGTGTGTGTGTGTGTGTGTAACACAGAGGAGGGGCTCTCCTGACCACCACCAGCGGCCCTGGTTTCCATCTCATGCTTCCATTCATCACCACCTACAAGTCTGTCCAGGTGAGTCAATTATCCAATGTTTAGATTTCTGTTCTGGAAATGTATGCAAATTAGCACATATTTCGTAAGATAGTGCCTAATTTGCATATCCAAACATTTATTTTCAGAAAACTTGTAACATAAAAAAGAATTGTGTTAATGTAAGAGATCAACTGTGGAAGTTTGATGGTGATATCTGTTCTGTAGTTTCGTGAACGCAGCCCTGTAATATGAACTACCGGTGTTACTTCAGACGGTTGAGTTACGGTTCACGCGTTGTGTCGTGGAGATGTTGATTCAGCTCTCTGTGGTGTTATATTGCATTCCATGACACTGACCGGGATTTCCTGAGTGTACAAATGAGATCCAGGTTTCTTCAATTTAAAACAGTGTGTTGTCTGATTTCAGGAGCTTGTTTTTCTGTTCCTGACTTCTGGAAAACTTAATTAAAGCATGACTTTTTGTTTTTGTCTCTTAGACGACGTTGCAGACAGATGAGGTGAAGAATGTACCGTGTGGCACAGGGTAGGTCTGTTGTTGTGATTGGCTTAACTAGTATCAGATGTGGTCTCTCTCGATACGTATTACACTGAGCATTCATCTTGTAACCTACACGGTCCCACACAATGCATTGAGTGGATTATAACACCACCAACACAGCTGGAGTCATCTCGTCATCTGAACTACCGGCTTCACCCACACTGAAAATACAAAACCCTTTTATCTTATCTCTGGTGGTGTTTTGGATGAAAGTGCCCGTCAAATAGTAATGTGTTTGCTTTCTTTCAGTGGAGGAGTGATGATTTACTTTGACCGTATAGAAGTGGTGAACTTCCTCGTCCCATCAGCAGGTAAACTCACCAGTGTTCAACGGGCCAAAAACGGCAAACAATGAATTCATCCTAAACTCCCTGTTCATTTCTTTTCACATCTGAAGACGACTTGGCACTGACAAACATGTCGGACGTCCTTTAGTTGCAGCTGTCTCCCTCAGAGCCACATACTGTACGTGTGTTCTGTGTTTCTACATTCGTTTCTGAACCGACTGAGCACTTGTATCCCTCTCTGCAGTGTACGACATAGTGAGGAACTTCACGGCAGACTACGACAAAGCTTTGATATTTAACAAAGTTCACCATGAGCTCAACCAGTTCTGCAGTGTCCACTCACTGCAGGAGGTCTACATCGGCTTGTTTGGTAAGTGCTGAAGCAACTCTTTTAATGGTGCATCTACATAAACATCGTGTTTGTCAGCCTACAGCTGAGGGTTCAGAACACCCTACGTTTTCATGGCCAGCCGCCCGCTACAACGACTGCTGTGCATAAAGTGAGGCCACACTTGTGAATGTTAGAATGTGTTTGCCTAAACATAACCCACAGGAGGTAAACACAACCGGGGCGTTATAAAGAGGCGGTTATTATGATGGGTGGAAAACGTCTCTTTACAGTAAACAGCAAATTCAAAGTTCCCTCTAGCTATGTTGCAATACATCTAAGTGAACCATAATCAAATACTGATGGGGCATCGGTATTTTAAAGAGATTTCATTTATTTAAAATTGTTTTTATGTTACCGATCTCTGCTTATGGGGACTCTGGTGGAGAATCCTCTTATGTCTTTACTTCCATACGTTTGGATAAAAGCAGACTACTTCCTAAAGAAGCACGTTTTGATACTGAGCCCAGTACTGATGATGTCTGTACTTGGATCAATTATTGCCTGATAGCAGTGAGTTGACTGATATTGATAATGTGCACTGCTCTTGCAACTTGACTGCAGAATAATTGTTATTAATACTATTAAAATATGAAGTCTCACATGAAATGTGTCTGTACTCTTTCTCTGGCCGTCTGAATATTTGAAACATACCTGTTTATGAGCATTGGATTTTTTTGCGACCTCGACTCAGATCTGACATTATCCCCGTTGGATGACGTTGAAATGAAACTAAACCATTTCTGCTGAGTTCAGCTCACCCTCCTGCCTTGTGTCTTATCTCGTACAGACCAAATCGACGAAAACTTGAAGTTGACTCTACAAGAGGACCTAACATCCATGGCTCCTGGACTCATCATACAGGTACAGTAAGACCACCAGGAAGGCTGCAGTCAGGACAGAGTTGGTCAGGTGCAGCGGCTGAATTCATGACCGTCTCGGGTCCTTACGTAGCACCAGCTCAAAGATTTGCTTCTGGAGCCGTCGCTGTTGGCATTGTGTTCTGTAGCTTTATGTGTATTGTCATAACAATCACACCTCTGATTGAAAGCAGCAGGTTTATGCACGTTCTCTGGGCATTGTTCACGTGTATTCTGGGAAATGTGGTTAACCGCAAGGGGACGGGCAAGAAAATGCACCGAGCACCATGGATTGATATTATCTAACCGTGAACATAATTATTTCTTATTGTCTGGACTGACTGAGTATCGCTAGCATTTCACTTTATTAAAAAGACGTTTTTACGTTTGTCACCCTGTTGTCTCTCGTTAGAAGGATTATTAAAAACACAGTAAGACATCTAAACTCTAGACTGGACTGCAGTGCAGAACCCGGGTATTGAAGTAGTAATGTAAACCTAATGAAACTGTGTACAGAGTCCTTGATAATGAGATTCTTTTTACAGTTTAACAGCCTGACATTGACTTTCACAGACTTTTAATAAAGCCGCTCTCCTGGACAGTTTATTATTACAACACAAGACCTTGTTTGACCGAAGAGTGATACAGAGGACAACGTTATGTCTTTAAACTATAAAAGGAGCCCGAGTGGGTTTTTCCCTAACTAATAAATCCCCCCCCACACACATACCCACAGAGAAACACACACATCACTCCTGAGAGTTAAACGCTCCGCTGGGCTTTAATACTCTGGCCTTATGTTTCCTGTAAATCTCTAGAAACAGTTGAAATAACAATTTCCGGGTCTTTCTGAGAAAACCAATAATCGTGCAGTTCAGAGGACCTTAAAACAGGACTGCTTTTGTTTCGGGGCTCCTCTCAAACTCCCCTTGAGGTGAAAATCTCTTTTTAAAGTCATCTTGCTTTTAATACTTGCGCTGTCTTTATCTGCCTACTTCAGTGTTAACTCTTTGTTTTTCTGTCTTTGTCTGTCCGTCTCACTGATCCACAGGCAGTCCGTGTCACAAAGCCCAATATCCCAGAGAGCATTCGCAGGAACTACGAGCTAATGTGAGTTTTTCCCATCAAGGAATGTTCCCTGATCCCTGACTCATGTGTTGTGTAATGATTTTCCCTCCCAAGTGGATAACCCTGATGTTCATCCAACTCCCCCAGCCTACCAAGACGGGGCTACTTTTTAAATCTGTCTGTGAACGTCTCACTTTGGCCTCATGAATCACAGTCAGTGGCTGTGATAAAGAGAGGAAATTGAGCATTTACAGTAAACTGTAGTAAGGTTCATGTAAGCACTGCGAGGCATCAGCCACGGTGGAAAGTGGAAGTCTTCAAGTCGCGTGCATACATTGACAAAAGAAGGAAATCATTTTGATTTGTTTAATTTAAAGTCAGGCACTGTGTGTGACTTCAGGTCCAGAACCCACACACAGCCTGATTAATGGTCCAGTGATTCTCAAAGTGGGGTCAGTCACACTCTGTCAGGGGGTGAAATAATCTGCTATAAATTATAGAATTGTGCTGCATCATTTAAAAAGTGCAGATCTACAGTTGTGGACCATTTGCACCAATAAAACAAGAGTATTGTGTCCAGTACAGCCACGTTGGCTCTGGGCCAATAGAAACTCTGATACCTTTGTGAAACACGGCAATGACTTCATTGTTGGTGAGTTTAATTGTCTGGTTTATTGTGCCAGTCTGCCTACTGTGCATTTTGTGAAAGCTTTTAAGATTAATTACCTGAAAATATAAATGCTTTCAAGTTAACATGTGTTTCTGTTTAATAGTATGAAACGGGGCAGAAGTATTTATAGAATACAAATAGTTTCAATGGCGTAAGAGTACAAATAGTAGATGCTTAATCAGTCTTACTATTAAGAGGGGGGTCCTTGGAGAATGTTCTCTCCTGCAAGGGGTCCCTGGACTCGTCTACTTTGTTACTTACAGATGTTTGTTTGATGGTTCAGTTGTATTTGTGTAACTCAAAGGGGAATCGTATAGTGGGGAAGGACCTCGCTTGCCAAGAGTATCTTTCAGTTCTTTATTGCAAGGCATCAGCATAAACTATATATTTAACTACAGCAAAGCATTGGCAGCTTCCTCACTGCTTTCCAAAGGAAGAGTGGAGCGTTCACTGAGCCCTGTCGCTCATAGTTAGTTGTTACACCTTGCATGGCGCATAGTTCACAAATGATGGCGATCGCACATTTAGCATCAATTCTTAGTCACAGCTCCATGATTTTAGACAAAGGGGGGAAACACAATGCTTTTTACTTTTAGCCAACTCTAAATGTAAGGTCATAATGTTATTTCTTTCTAATGAGAGCCTGCATACCTATTTTCAATAAGTTCATTTTTCACTTTGAACGATACAAGATTAAATGAATAAGGCTTCAGGGTGAGCGTGTGTTTTGCAAATGTTTGGCAATTTCAGATAAAGAGTTTTTGTAAACTTCCCCAAATCCAACAAAGAGCAGGAAAGAGCCGTTAACAGTAACCAAAACTCTGATAGCATCCACACACAATCACACACTGTTACACAAGCACCATTCTGCACACTTTAAGGAAAAATGCAATTCTTCGTATTTGTTTTTTTTTTTCATTGCAATGACGGCAGAAACTGTTAGAAAACAGTTTCTAACATCATTGTAAAACAGTGAACACACTCTTATTCTTCTCTTCTGGGGGTTATGGTACCAATTATTCACCAACTGAATTGCTGAGATCTGGAGAGGCAGCGATACTTGTAAATGAGTTTCAGCTGGCAGCAACACAAGCAGTCAGATGACCACAGAAGTCATCAGTTTCCCATGTTGGAGTTCCTTTTTATCCTGCAAAACATTAGATCCTTCAGAGCTACATCTTGACATACACTGCAATTACTGTAGTTGTTGCGAAATGTAATTGTAGGCAGTGCCCCAGACTTACTTTTGGTTTCACTTTCTAATAAGCTGTTTAACCTCTGTTCTTACTCCCTGTGAGACACTCAGAGCGTTGGTGTTGCTTAGACATCTGGAGGCCAGTAATGTAAACAAGTCTCAACAGTTCAAATGTGATCATAGAGAAGACGGTCCACACAGTTGAAATGGAAACTTATAACAGAAACTCAATTTCCCTTCAAACCAGCACTCATGTTGCTTTAAAGGATCACTTGAGAGATAAAAAGCCTTCAGACCCTCATTGATGTGGTTCATTTAGTGATGGGAATTCTTCCAATGAGGCAAATGCATGAAGATGCAGAGCAGAGATTTCTTGCGTAATGAGTTCCATGTGATGGCACAGGGTTTAGATGCTGGATTAGGAGTTAGGAACTGGAACTCTAGATGTTTTATGCCCAGTCCCAAAGTTCCTCTCACACAATCAGACTTTCATAAAAGTTTTCCAGGGCTCAGAGCTGTGAATCAATTTTTCTGCACGCTTTCAGTAAAACTGCAAAGCTGCTTAGTTCCTTTTCTTTCTTTCATTGTAATGTTATAAATTATGGCAGAAATTGGGAAACATGAAAAAAAAAAAAAAGAGCTGCTAAGAACCACTTTACATGCATAAAGCAGTAAAACCTTCATGCTGCAGTCATATTATATGGAAGTTATTCAATTGATGGTTTCTGGCCATAAATGCGTACCATTCACTTCATCAACCAAGTCATAATAACAACCTTTTTCTGAAAGCTTATATCCAACTTGATGCCTGAGAAGGTAAACAAATATTGATCCCGATGTTGTTCCCAGTTGATGAGTAATTAAACTGGTTGTTCTGAGGTGACACGACCTGTTGGGAGGAATTATTCTGGAAATGATGTCAACACACTCAGAATAATTAAAAGTGTTAGATGCCCCACCTGAAGAGTGTCAATAAAGCCTGCTCTGTAAATGCCGACACTGTTTAATGTTAAAGCGTCTGTTCGTGTTGTTTGCAGGGAGAGCGAGAAGACGAAACTGCTGATCTCTCAACAGACACAGAAGGTTGTGGAGAAGGAGGCAGAAACGGAAAGGATCAAAGCTATCATAGGTGAGAAAGAGAGAAATAAAACACAATCGGGAAGAAGTGCGTTCAAAACACTCTGAGGGTTGAAAATTGAAATATACCTCTTTTATTTTTAATAGAGGCTGAGAAAGTGGCACAAGTGTCTGAGATCAAGTTTGGACAGAAAGTCATGGAGAAGGAAACGGAGAAAAAGATCTCTGAAATCGAAGGTTTGTATGCAGCGGTGGAAGAACGACTCGGATCCTGTGCCGAAGTAAAAGTACCAGTACAACAATGTCAAAATACTTCTATTACAAGGGAAAGTCCTGAATTCAAAATCCTATTTAAATGGCAATCCTTAAGATTTTAGTTCTGGTTGATTAAGCGACACTGGTAACCAGTAATATGTGGTTTAAAAACTGGGCGCAGCAAAACAAACGATTGTCATTTTAATGAACAAGTCATTCAATAATTAGCCTTTTTCTGTCTGTTTTGATTCTTCCTTTATTGCTCACTGTCGCTGCAATATTTAAAACTGATCAACTGTGAAATGTTGACCAAAATAACAGTTGTTTTGTTTTGTAGATGCATTTTTGATTAATAATAGTTATCAGTGTCGAGCTCACTGACGAACACATTTCCTGTGACTGTGGGACTAATGAAGGATTATCTTATCTTGTAAAAGTCAACTCGTGTTTGACCAGTTAAATGTTTGTAAAGTGAAGCTGCAGAAGTAGGACATGTTGGGTTTAATAAGCTTTTATGTGAAGTTTTTATTTTAATAAGTAACTAGTATGTACAGAGCAATGCAGGGCTGACATGTTTTTGTAGAAGTGTTAAGTGTCATAAATTGGAAAGTAGTAAAAGTACCCTTAAAATTGTGCAGTTCTTGCATAAAGTACTGAAATAAATGTGCTTAGTCAGTTCCCACCACTGTTTGTATCGTAGACGGGCTTTGACATGTAGTAACATGAATAATCGCTGTGTGCGGTTTAGGTGTGCTAATCCTACAGCCCTCAAGTTGATTCACTGACGTCACAGTGCAATGAAACAGCTGTCATCACTGATTATCTGAGCTTCTCCTGCTAGGACAAGTCAAAATGTTTTCTTAATATAACAAAGAAGCAAACATCCTGGACACTAACAAAGTACAGATCAGAATGAGGAGTAGATCAGGATGTGGTCTCAGCAGCTGTTTGTTTTTAGTGCTGGTTTGCTTGTTTTTGAGTCGGGGACCCAGTTCTTTATACGTTACTCGTGCTTGTAGTTCACAGTATTTACGTCAGCGTCCTACTTTCTAAACAGGAAAGCAGCTTTGTGTTGTAATGAAACCGGCCTGCCGCTGTTGACTCTTGACCGTTTGTGATTCACAGACAGCGGTTACTTGGCCCGGCAGAAAGCCAAGGCAGATGCAGAGTTTTACACGTCAAAGAGGGCTGCCGAGGCCAATAAGGTAAAGAGATGACGCAAACACACTTCCCGCTTAAACCGGGACAAATGGGGACTGGAAAGTCCAGACTGCTCGTTTTGTAATTTTAATGCCGTGTCCCCTCTTGCAGCTGAAGTTAACACCAGAGTACCTGCAGCTAATGAAGTACAAGGCCATCGCATCCAACAACAAAATCTACTTCGGGAATGAAATTCCCCAGATGTTTGTGGACTCTGGCTCTGCAGGGAGCTCGATCAAGGCCTCTGCAGCCAAGGACATCGTTGCTGAGCAGATCCTGGACCTGGACTAGTGAGGGACCGCCCAGACTGAGTGGAAGGACTGTCTGCTGGAGGGCAGGCGCCCGGCCCACAGGCTGGCTGGCAACTTATCCCTCTGACTCGAAGAGGCTCTGCTGACCTGGGTCTGTATTTCTCAAACACTTCAGAATAACTGCTATAAATCACACTGTTAGTATGACTACCATGTCATATTCTCCAACCTCAGAGCAGAGGAGTTCATTTCAGAGGCTTCCTAAGCTTCTACTTTCATTCTGATAGAGAATGAGATTGTCTAGACGGACTATTAAATTATGTGAAAGAGAAACTAAATAAAATGGCATCATCCGTGGGTGTATAATTGGCTACTTTTAAAACCGTCATTTAGCCGAAACCACCATGTTAAGCAACTCACCCTCCTGCTGCTCAGCTCCGCGTATCAACTGTGCCCAGTTCATTTAGCCACAACATCAAGGATCACAAATCCATTACTACCTATGTGTTCATACTGTGTTAGCCATTCACAAGCCTGTGTTCTCATTGAGCATTTGAGTTGGTTGAAAAATTGGGTTTTAAATATTCACTTAAAATGGCTAAACGTCTGAGGCTAAAGCTGCATGTTACAGGCAAAAAGTCATCGGTTTATGACTCATGCAGAAGACGTGAAGCTTGTCGGGGACGGGCTTCTTTTTTCTCTGTAACCTCACAAAGGAATGTAGTTGGTCAGTGGTGCTATGCTAATTATTTGCCTTGAAAGTAATGCTACTGTAGGTGGTAAACTAGTTAGCTGGATATGCTAACAGATGGTGCAGATCAACACAAAGATGAATACATTTCTTGTGTTTTTGGTTTTGAAAAAGGTGATGCAGAAGTTTTACCAAACTTTTTAAAAGTGTCATATCACTCTTTCTGCAACCCAAAGCACACTATTAAAGGACCGTCGCTGTTTAATGGCGGGATTTTGCTAACGCTCAATGGCAACAATGTTTTGTGAATGAAGCCGTTGCGTCCCAATAAAAATAAACCTTTTAACCCGCTACATGCCTCCACTACACTCTCACATGTCTGGGTGGGAAAGCTCTGCAGCTCCGCTACATCCAACAGAACAAGGAACGACTTAAAGAGATCAAGAAAGTTATTTAAATGCTGATGCTGCTGTAAATTAGGACCAAATATGTGTCGCTCTGAGGACGTTGGAATGTGATTTCTTATTCTGAGTGCTTGAAAAATACGGGCCCCGACTGTAGACCAAACACAGGGATGATGAATGTACTGTGTCGTAGCTGCTGCCTTTTAGATTTTAATAGCATCACTCGATTTGTTTTTTGTTTTACTTTTCTGTAAAAAAATAAAAAAATCTTTTGTGCACAGGGTTGTTGAATTTAAATTGAATTCGTGCAACTGTTCGAAGTTGTACCACATGTGCAGTACATGTATGTAGCACGTTGGAGAGACTATATTTGTGCATCTGTTTGTTTGGTTCTTAATGTCTATTGTGCAGTTTTATTCCAAACAGGGCCCACTCTGAGAAGTGTGTGTTGGGTTATGACACGAGCAGCGTTTGTACTCCGGTATACTCTTATATAAAGTCTGTGATACAGACATGTGGCCACATGTCTTCTCAATGGGCAGTTTTCAGCTATGTTGGATGATTTAACATAACCACTTCATGAATGGTGACAGAATATACACAGTAGTGAATTGGCTTTGAGCCTTTGACAACATGACCCACTGAAGTAATCATAGGAACTGAACTGTACAGATTAACACTGAAGGACTCGCTGTAGAAATACTACCGACCTCGTGTGTCACCATTGTCTGTCGGGGTCCAAGTCAACAGTCTTGACTTGATCAGGACCAAAAACCAAACTTCACTTAATGTTTGATCTCGTGTGTTCTCTGTCTTAGAATACTAAAGAAATGCGTCGTCTAAATACTAAGTTTGTTTCTCAGCATTTGGCAATTTTGTTTGTGGGATTATTTCAACTGAGTGATGTGGTGTTCAACAGAATATCTGAGCATGAGTTACCGACCAAAGGATGTGTTCTTCATCCAAAACTGACTCATTTCATACTGTAGCTTTGGGGGGGGGGGGGGGGGGGGTCTAGGTGGTGGTTCTTTGAACTTGGCATGTTTTTCTTTTCTTTTTCTTTTTTTTTTTGGTTGAGCAGACGCTCTCGCGGTGAGAAAATATTTCTGAAGCTAAATGGCTTGTGTCCTGAATTCACTGTAACCCAATACAACCTCCAATAATCTTCTTGTGCAAACAGTGATTGTATGATGTGTTATTGGCGCCCCTCTGTTGTTTAAAGTTGGTCCTCAAATTGACTTCCAGTTGTCGTTTTATTACACTGACTTGAAAGGCAAATGTTTTTGCACTTCAATTGTGAATATGCAATCAAGATATTGTTATTTGACAATAAAGTACTGTGGGTTGTTATTTGAGTAATCAATCGCATTATTAAGAGTTTTTATTTACATTACATTGTCCAATGTGATGTATAGGATGTCTGTCATTAAGAGTTTCAAACACTAACATTTAGTATCTAAACAATTGTTGCAAATCAGATTATTTAAAAGTTAAAAAGCACTTTTGAGTTACGACTATACCAGAATGAAAGCGTCCTTACTGTTTGTATTTCACATTCTGAACTCTGAGTCACTTCTGACGTACTCCACACCAGTTCCTGATCGTTACTCATGAATATTTTTGACTCCCTTTTCTTGAGAAAGGGGTTTTTTTAATTTATTTTTTTTAATTAAGCTTGAGCCTTAAGTAAAGAGATGCATCATACTGAGAAGTTCCTATTAAACCCACGTTACTTCTTCATCATATCACCATTATTAACACTTTTGTTGCGCCCACCTTTTTGTAAAGTTTTACCCTGAACTATATTCTATAGGCTGAATGTTGAACCATATGCTTTGTAGACTTTTGTTCAAGGGTATTATTTACCTGTAATGATGGTCAAATGGGTGTGTCTTCCAGGAAACTTTCAGGGAATTGTAAAGAAATAAAGAACCAGTGCACAGCTCAGATTCAATCCCACACAAATGCACATTTAACTAATTAGGTAGTGACAACTGAATGTGGGGCTTTGGGCTTCTGGGGCATTTGCCTACTTTGACTGGCTGTTAATGCAGCCTTGATTGATATGACTGTAGATGATATCCTGTGTAATATGAATAATTTACCTGAGACTATTCTGTCGATTTGGATGGCTCAGTAATTCAGTAATAAATCTGCAGACATTTGCAATGATTTATTTGATTTCACAGCTGCATAGTCTGTCTCCTTGAATACAAAAAGAGAGAAATTTAAAAATGAAAAGAAAATCAATGACATGTTGGAATGTTCTTTTACCGGAAAATATCCAATTGAGCAAAACATTCTTTAAATCTAAATTTGCTTTAATCAGTATCTGTGTCGGATCCTCTCCCAGAAACCCCCTGTATTTCCACAGTCAACTGTCTGTAAGTAAGTGGTTATTGTGCGTAAAACTGTAAGCTGGTTGGGATCAGCCTACTTAATTTACCACTTGTGTAAACATAGAAGATATAGTGGATCTGGAGCTGCTCCTCCACTATGTGGAGAGAGAACTTCAGCAGCATGAAGCTTTGACTCTCCAGGAAGCCGAGGAAAAATACAGTATATATGGAAAACAGTTTATCCAGGACAGTTCCATCTGGAGTATTTCAAAGTGGAGACATGAAATGCATGACCATATTAGCTTTAATAAGATATTTTAAAGAAGAAAAAAAAAAACTGCTGCAGTTATTTTTTCGTAAGAATCGGTGAAACAGTCTGGAGGACGCTACCTGAAATAAGAGGCAGATCGTGAATTGGGAGCCGTGATGAATGTGCCCCCCACAGAGCATGGAGAGGCGCATGCGCCTATCCTCCAGGGGCTATGG